ACTCTGAGGAGGTATGGGGGACCGTGCAGGCTCCCTGTGATAGTGATGTGTGCATTAAAACTTAGAAGGTATGTGGGGATAGCCAGATAAAGGACAGAGGGAAAGGGAGAGGACAGTGAAGGTGTAGGTGGAGCAGAGAACAATATATTCTGGGGAAAGCAACACATTGGCCTGGCTTCAGGGTAGCGGGAAGAGTGCCAAGAAAGTCCTCTCTGTCTATAAGGGGTTGATATAGTCTCCATTTCACATTGGAAGAAACTGACCATCATTGGCTGAGACAGAGTTTAAGGCTTTCCTACATTAAAATAATACACAGACAGTTTTATAGCTCAAATAATTTAGTCCCCAAATTTTACACTTAAGAAGTAGACTAAACAAAAGGAAATTTGGTGGCATGAATGACCTTAGTTTAGTCCAGCAGCTGGCCTGGAAGTAGGATGTGGCTCTTGAGGAGAATAAGAAACTATAGGGAGAGGAGGGCCAGGTAGTGACATCTCCCTCAATGTGCTGTCTGCAGGATGAGCTGTCTGTCCCTCACGACAAGGAGAAGCCAAAGGAGCTACATGGCAGAGCTTACTAATGCCTTTTGTGGACTTGAGGGCTCTCTGGTCTCTCCTGATGTGGTGGATAGGACTTGCCATCAAAGAACTTGGAGGCCTGAGAGGGCTCTTCCTGTGTGGTAACTACGGTTTCAACATCCTCACTGTGGGCTTAGAAAGTTTATAGGAAGCAGGGCTCTTGTAAGAAGAGCCCTGGCTGTAAGATTTAGAACTTCCCAACTGTGACGTGTTACTTGAACTCTCGGTTTTGGTTTTCTCATCTATGAAGTGGAGATCTTAGTGTCAACTTTGCAAGATTCTCAGAAAGAAGTATTCAGTGCACATCGGTAGCACTGGTACTAGGCATATAAGGAGATAACCCAGTGCCTTTCAGAGCACTTAGTCCTTTATTACTTGCTTGCCCATTCTCAACCTGGTGCTATGGCTCAGAAGAGGGGAGGAAGAGGGAATGTAGGCGAACCTGATTGATTCCACCTCTGGAGAAGTAGCACAAAGTATTTAGTTCCTCAGAGGGAATCAGAAGTGTTATTTTTACGCAAGATGCTGCTTTATGACTCCACTTTGCTTTAAAGAGACAACAAAAGAAATACTCCACTGTGTGCTTTAACACCCCGCACACACACACACCCCAGTGGAAGCCAGTGTATATGCTTGGTGCCTCTTGCCACATTCTCAACAAAACCTCTAGACTCCTGTAAGAGTGCAGTTTAAGTCCCTGTAAAGTCAGTGCACACGGACAGCTATCTCTGCTTTCAGTCCATTACATAGAACAGGTCTTCTGGAGGGGCCACCTCACCTGCCTAACCCTTCAAAGGCCCTTCTCTTCAGTGCCATTCCTTGTCCTGCAGTAATTCTATAGCATTTCCCTCCCCAGTCCAACCTCTGGGCTCACTGCAGAGTGATGAACCAGGAGAGATGGAGTGGCAAGACTAGTGTGAGGGGAAGTACTCTTGGCCACTCCTCAGTCCCCTCGCTCCCCAGCCCTACAGATACCTCTGTTCATCCTTCCAGCCTATACCCAGAGTCTTCACAGACCTTCAACAGAGTAGTCAGAACTGCTACATTTTTAAAATAAGACTTCTGTCCTTTTATGCTAGTCTACTTAAGTACTTCCACCTCATCAGAGTATTCCCGGGCCACGTCAGGGCGCTTTGGGGGATCTGAATGAAAAGAGAAAGGAAGGATATGAGGGACGCCTCTGTGTTCCTTTTACTTACATATAGTCCCCAATTTACAATGATTCAAACAATAATTTCCTTCCACCTTAAGATGGTGCAAATTTTTCACTTTCAGTACACTATTCATTAAATGTTATGAGCTATTCAACACTTTATTTTAAAATAAGATTTGTGTTAGGTGATTTTACTCAACCATAGGTTGGAGTAAGTGTTCTGAGAGTGTTTAAGGTGGGCTAGCAGGGCCATGATGTGCACTGGGCTAGGTGTACTTCGGGCCCAAAGGAGTTTATCAGACCGTGATATCATCATAAGCTCAGGAACATCTGTACTCTCCTGAGCAGCTGGAGATGGGGAGGGGAGCATCTTGTAGCCCTGCTCCTCCTCTAGGAGTACAGAGACCAGGAAGGTGAGGAATACTGTTGGGGAAAACACTGGCCTTGGGGAAAACATAACCCTACTCGGTCTGAAAAGTGTCCAGATGTCCTGTTGGTGGCAGGCTCTTCCCATTCCTGCCCCTCTAGAGCCCTAGTCTTCTGTCCCCCCACGACTAGCTGCAGAGCCAGCAGCATCTGTGGGACCAGACCAGTCCCTAACTAGAGAACCCAGGATACCCTCTATCCCACCAGCTATGCTTAGCAGAGATTAGGCTCTGTGGAAATATTAGTTCTAGAATTTAGACATATTTCAGACTAGACATACACATTGAGTTTGAGAAACAAAATGTCTTGTTCCATTGCTTTCTGGAAATACCTCATTTTAAAATTTCTGTTCATGTTCCTTTCCCAGCGTCTGATTGATCTTTACTGGTTTGTTGAGTTTGTGTGTCATACAAAGCCCTTATTATTTATCTTTTTTTTTTTTTTTTTTAGTACCAGGGATTGAACTCACAACCTTGTGCTTGCTGGGCAGGTGCTGTGCCATTGAGCTAAATCCCCAGCCCCTATCTTTTCATTTTGGGTTTTTGAACACATGATCTTTTCCTTTGTAGTTTTTTTCATATTTCTCTTGTTTTTTAGCTCAGAAAATCCTTCTTTATCCACTTGTCTGAGAAAATACTCAGTATTCACCATTATTGGGAAGAATGTTTTGGAGGGGTTTTTTTTTGTTTTGTTTTTTACAACTATTTATTTTTCAATTGATTGTAGCCTATGGTATGAAGACTTGTTTTCCTGAAATGATACCTGGCACCAGGAATTTAATTGTACTTAGTAGCCATTTATAATTTCCTACCAACCTAGATACTGACTTGGGTGTCTTGAAACCTGTAAGAGTGAGAGTTTCTGCCCCTGTGCAACCAGCCTTAACAAAGATACGACAGCTCCAGGTGATTTCTCAAGCCTGTGGCAGATAGCGGCAGGAAAGGATGGACACTGACTGTGCCACAAAAAAGAGTTATTGTCCGTTCCAGCCTGATTCAGTGCTCAGGGCTCAGAGCTTAGCTAAAACTTCCATCCTTTCTCATGTTAACATTTGGCCAATACATTGACAAGCAGCATATACCGACAAGCCAATTACAAGATCATCCTATTTGGATACATAGTAGCTACATGAAATTTTGGTTTAAATTGTGCTTTGAAGAATCATTTGACAGGTGGCCATTACTTAAGGCTTGGGGTCTAAGTCTGAGATTCTCAGCATTTAGCACAAGTTAGGGACAGCTGGGGATAGGAGGATGGTGGGAGCATGCAGAACCCACTGATACTGTGAGATGGTGTTAAAAGTGATGGGAGATGCCAGGCACACCTGTGAAGCGCTTCATACACCTAGGATGCCTGTGTCTGTGCTACTTTGTGGAGAGTCTGGCACTGAAGCAGCAGCAGGAGGGTCCTGTGGAAGGAAGCAGGCCCATGCAGAGCCCTTGGCTTCACGCCAGACACCTGGTCTTGGTGTAGATCCTGCTGAAACCCTCCTGGAAGGCAGTAGCATTGAGCCTTAAAGAAAAAGGAATTCCTGTCATTTGTTGCACTGGATACACCTAGCAGACATTATCTTAAGTAAAATAAGCCAGGCAGAGAAAAAGAAATATTACATGATCTCTTTTATATGGTGAATCTAAAAAGGCTGATGTTTTAGAAGTTGAGATAGAATGGAGGTTACCAGGGCCTGGAAGCAGGGGTTGAGCTGATGATGGAAGGATATGAAATTTCAGTTACATAGAAAGAATAAGCTCAGAAGATCTCTTGCACAAGATGATGACCATAGTTAGTGTATGGTAGAGCACTTGCCTAGGCATCCTGGGTTCAGCATCCCTCAGCACTGCAAAAAGAAAACAATGCATGTGAGGTAATGTATTTGTTAGTTAACTTGATTTAGCTACTCTACCATATATACTTACATTAAAACATCATATCTTACCATAAATATATACAATTTTTATTTGTCTATTTAAAAAGAAAACAATGACCACCGAGCTATGGAGAGCACATCGTCAAGCAGCTAGGGGAGAATGAACTATGGGGCCTTTTCCTGGCCAAGGACACGTACCTTGGAAGGGGATTCCATTATGTGATGTCAGACTGGGGCCAAGTGACAAATAGGCCAGACTATTTCATTGTGTTATTTTGTAAACAACTTTGAAGAGCATGACAGCCGCGGCACACTTGAGGTGACTCAAACTGATCATTTCTGAGTAGTATATGCTGGACATTTCCCAAGAGCAAAAAAATCCAACATGAGAAAGTAGTAAGACATTTGTATCTTTGACAGTTTTTTAAAAGAGACTTAAGACAGGCTGTTGGAGCTGTGGTTAAAGATACTTACATTTAAGGATGTTCCTAAACTCTGAAGAAAGGCTACCGCCCCCCAACATGCCTGCATTCCAGACACCACAGGACATAAAATGAATTAAATCAGGGTTTATGGTCAATAGACTGGTGTGTGGTCTTTGCAAAAGATTGAGTTCCTTTCAAATGTATGAGAAGCTATTTGCAATGTGGTTTTTTTTTTGTGATGTTATTTTATAAGAACAGAAGTTACTATATTCTTGGTTTGTGGTTTCCAACTGACTCTATGTAGGATTGTTATTTAGTGTAAAGGTTTCTCAAACATTTAAATTTACTGCACATTTCGGGAGGTAAGGGCCTTTCTGGAACAACCGTTGCATGTGCAGACAGAGAAAGTCTTTGCAGTGCTTGACCGCAAGGGAAGAAAGATTTGCCCAAGTGATCAGTCACTGCACAGCTTAATTCCTGTGGATGATGTGGCAGGGTTTAGAAGTAGTCTGGCCATTTAAACATTGATGCTTTTTTCTTCTTCCTTTTAGGAAAAACTGTGTCTTCCCCATCACATCCTTGAAGAAAAAGGCCTGGTCAAAGTGAGCATCACCGTCCAAGCCTTACTTGATGTCACTGTCACAAAGACGCTATTCACATGAGACCAAGCCCTCTCCTCTGAGTCAGCTCAGACTCTTCTCCCGTCAGGGATGCTGGACTCTACTCCTGGGACCTGTTCCACCCTGTCCCCCACTTGCTGCCTGTCAGTTCCCCCACTCTGGTTGCATTGCCAAGGTTTCCAGTCTAAGGGCGGACCTTGCACCTTTCAGAGCTGACCTCCAGCTTTAAGACTTGACGGGTATTCTCTTGAAGCCGGTGAGGGTGCTGGTGGAGAACTAAATAGCACATCATTGCCTTTTCAACCTCGGTCGTCCCTTCCACACTTACCACCTGCCATTATCCAAATGCCAAGCACAGCTGTTCTGCAGCAAGACGCATCTGTTTTGTTAAAGCCAAACTTGTTACAGATTTAGTAGGGGGAGGGGGATATAATCAGGTTTCTCACCACCAAATTTTTCAAGAAATTTCTTGAGACCATTGCCTTTTAAAAAACTATTTTCAACATACAAGATATTTATATAAATATTATTTATTAGTGAGTTGTTATTCATCCTTTGGATGCAAATTGTAAATTAGGAAACTATTTTATTACTGCTTTTTTGTGGTTAAACACTTTATTTTATTATAAATATTGAGTTATTTTCTATCCTCTTTGGTGTGCAGTAGTTCTGGGTCTCAGTAATCATGTTTCCTGGTGTATATGATTCAGAAAAAATTAAGCAAAAAACAGGTGCTTCTGTGACAAAGAACTGTTTTCTGGGGAGGCATTCTTTATACTTCGGTTTGTGGAACATTGGTCTTATTTATACTTCTGCATTCCATCCAGTTTCCTACATTCCAGCAGCCCTATTGTCCCCCAATATAATGAACTGACTGAAGTCAAGAGCACCCCAAAGTTAATTGTAAATAGCTGTGATGGAAAAAAGACATTAAACTTGAAGATAAAATGTGAACAGTTATTTTTTGAATTCATACTTCTTTTGCTATGCACAAAACATTCACATTTTAACACAAAGAAGTAATGTGTTAGTATTGTGTGTCTTGAAATATAATTTTGCACTGTAACTTGAAGAGTCTAGCACCAAAGGTAGATAATGAGGAAATGATACAGGAAAGTGGAGATGATTAAAAGACTATTGTTAAACCAAAAACATTTTTAAAAGAAGCTTCGACTGAGTGACCAAAAATTGTTTCAGGCACATAGGACTTGGAGCGGGAAACGAGCACTTCTTACAACTGCCAGTTTTGAAAGAGGAAATGATTTTGAGATGTAGGTATGCTTGTTTTATTATAATTTAGTTGAGTTTTTTAAGTAGTTGGTAAAATCCTGCAAGACTCACAGTCTTTGGTGTGAGTGAGAGAAGCGAATGAGTCATCCGTGAGCTGGGGTGGCTCTGTGCAGCACCAAAGCAGACCAGGAAGGCTCAGTAAGTGGAATATGTGAGACTGAGCAGCCTGCGGGGAGGCAGGTGCGCAGGAGACAGGGCTGGAGAGGAGCCAGCTGGGGAGAGGAGCTTTTGGCAGTAGTCTGAGAGTTGCAGGAGGCGTCACATCACAGGACAACCTCTATCAGGCAGTGACAGGCATGTGCACTCACATTGCAGTTATGCTCGGCCCAAAATTAGTCTTAAAGGTCCTGTGAATGCTGATTGCACTTTCATCTCTGTGAAAAGCCATTAGAGGTTTCTAGAACAGCAGTAGGCACAATTTGCAAATGTAAAGGTGAACCCAGAAGAGTGCATAGAAGACAGACCTTTGTCAAGGGATGCTAGGGCTGCCTCCACTCTAGGGAAGATGGGCTCCGGAGCGTGGACATTTAGATTGGCAGCTAACATTTATTTTCTATCAAATGTACTGTGCACTTTAACCTAACTTAAAATATATTTTAATATTTCCTGTACTGAACAAATACCTGTGTTGTCAAATAGCATAATGATGCAAAAGATGAAAGGCATTTGGGACTAAGAGCGTACACAATTTAAGCAACATTCAAAGGTTGATTATATAAATAAGATTTTAGACTGCTGCACCTGCATGGGCATTCAGAGTGCAGGATCCTGAAATATTTTTTCTGTGTATATATGGCAGTGTGAAGCTCTGTAATCATTGTATTCAGAGATTTTTTTCAAAATTAAAATATTTCATTTGATATTAATTTTCAGTATTTTCTGGATGTTGACTGTGTAATACAAATAGCTTCAGTATTTTGTAAAAATGGCCTTTTTTTCTTTTAAATGCAGTTCTTGTACGGCTAAGACATCAAGATCTTTGTACACTGTGTATATGTGTAATAAAATGTGTATGGCTGGCTGACAGTACCATAAAAACACAGTGTGTACGGTGCAAAATCTCTCCTTTTGTGATTTAACAGCCATTAAAACTTTGCATTTGTATAAACCACCTTCTGATTGACTTACCCATCTGATACAAAGGCTGATGCTTGTGTCTCACACACACACAATAAGGTGTCATTGTTGAAACATTTTAGCAATTATATTTTGTAAATATGTATATGTCCATAAATAATTTGTATATTTGTATGTATATAAAACCTGTACAGTAAGTATATGTAGCTATCAGAATGAATACAGATACATAGTACAGTAGTTCCCCTTTTCCAAGGGTTTACTTTTCATGATTTCAGTTACCCATGGTCAACCTCATCCAAAAATACTAAAAATATTAAAAAATACTCCGTCTTGATTCTTTAGAGAGAGACCATATTCACATAACTGTCATAGTATATTGATAGCATTGTTCTATTTTATTATTGTCAGTCTTTTACTGTATGTAACTTTTAAATAAAAATTTGTCATACGTGTGTATATATAGGAAAAAACAGTATATACAGAGTTCTGGTCCTTCATGGATAAGAAGGGACTGTGACTGCTGTGTGTGTGTGTGTATGTGTGTTTAGGTGAAATATGTATCACATACATTATCTCAGGATAATAACTTTTTTTCTCTAGAACTAAAACTTACCTGGAACCACTAAACATACAGCAGAAGTAAACTCACCATAATGAGGCTGTGGGGACAGTGATGTGGATTCAGGACTCCCATTTGCTGAGGATGCCTTAGTTCCTTGATCCAAATTATAAAGCTAACAAGATCAGACCCATTTCAACTGCCGCCTGTGGAATCAGACCTGAGTGAAGTGGCTGCTGAGATGACAAGCTGGCTCGATCTGGAGTGGCGATGTTTCCCCTTTATAGTCATTGACCTTTGCTACAAGAGCAGCTGTTGCATTTGAAGTGAAGTTAGTGGTCAACACATGGCCTCCATCTTTTGCTCATCCCATGTAAAACATACACAGATGTAGGACCACCAGCCTACCTAGTGATGGCAGGGACAGTGTCAGAGCCTCTACATTTAATATCTGTGTCTACCACATCCAAACATGGGCCATGACATTCTGATTTGACACCCTGCTCCTCAAACTCCACAATGTTGGTTCCTCCTTATGTTCGGAAGTCAAGTACTCTTATCCACACACACTTCCTATCCATCATACATGCGCTGGGCCAGGTAAGAATGTGTACCACCAACGGGAGGGAGGGTGGCAGGCAGGAGCATGGTGGGAAGCCCCACAGGCAAGCATGCGGCTGTCCCATCCAGCACTTGAGCTCATTGTGTAACAGGACAGCCCCTTCTGGATATCCTTAGCAGGATTACATTTACTTCCTTTCCTAATCCTTTACATTGCCTTTTACCCAACTTTGGAAACTCTATTGAATGGCCTCATCTGAATAGTTTAAATTCTGAGGAGAGGTCTCACCTGAAATCTTTTTTGTTTCAGATTCCCAGAACTCTCATGGCTTTTGTGACGCTTACCCACAGGTGCTCAAAAGCCGTTGTGATAAGGCACAGTCTTGGAGGAAGACCCACCCCTTTTCTTCTCCCCATAAAAATCCATCACCCACCCTGAGCCCTAAGATAGAGCTTGAAGGAGCTACACCTCTATCTTCTTAAGGATTGGCCTTGAATAAACTTGATTCTACTGAACATTGGTACCTGAGTGGCAAGTAACCCAGATATTTGACTGCAGTATTAGTGGCTTTGGCCACAACTGGGAACTTCTCAAAGACCGTGTCCCCACCAATAGCTGTGCGTCAAAACTGCTCAGTTTTCTGCAAGTGAGTCTGGAAGCTCACCCCTGGTCTTCCACCTTCCATGGAAAGTTGGCTAGCTCATTCCAGTCGAGTCTGGGGCTCAGGAGAACTAGAGAGGCAGGGGATTATCGTAGAAACTGGCACTTCTTGCACATGGGGACATGAGCAGAGCAGGGCTCCATTCCAAACCACTCTGCTTACTTTCCAGGTTCACCAACAAGCCAGTGTTTGCTGGACAGCAACTATGGGCTAGGTGTGTCGTTTGAACAGTGTTCTGTTAGCCTCTGACTCTATTTTCTTCTCTGCTCATTCTCTGGTGTCTGTAACAGTACTTTGAATGTAGTAAGAACTGGAGAGAAGCCTGTTAGAAGTACTAACAGACTTTGCATTCATTAGGTCAAGCACTGTTACCATAACCAGGTAAGAAAGAGATTTATAGTGAAAGTCTAGGAGATTGCCACCTAACAGCACATGCTTCTGGAAACTTCTGCCTCATACACCAGGAAACTTCTGTGGTCTTTACAATGGTGCTTTCCACCAGTCTGTTGTTTATTGATTCAAGAGGAGCCACTTTATAATGTACCAGTAAGTCTCTTCCCCAATGCCAGAGTTTGAATGGTTCCCCAAAGTTCATATACTGCAAACAATTCCCAGTGCAAGAGTGCTGTGAGATAGGGCCTTTACAGGTGATTAGGTCATGTGCGCTCTGCTCTCAGGATTAGATTAATGCTATTATTGTTGGAGTGGTTCCTTTAAAAGGGTAGGTTTGGCAACCTGTTTTTCTCCCTCTCCTGTACTCTTTCACATTTGATGCCCCCACTGTAGAATGGTCAAGAAAGCTCTCACCAGATCTAGCCCCTCAACCTTGTGTTTCCAGCCTCCCAAATGAGCCATTCTCAGGTATTATGTTACTCCAGCACAAGCACTAGGGTTTTAATTCTCTTCCTGATAACTAAAGACAGAAAACATAATACCTAGAAAAAACCTAGCAGATAAAATTGGCAAGCAACCAGAAACAGGGACAAGAAATAGCAAAGACATCTCTGGTGTTTGCAGGCCTTCATCTAAAAGGGATAGAGTCCTGTATTTCTGAAACTTGGTTATTCAAATTTCCCATGAATCTTTCCAAGAGGCTTTGAGTTTTTGCTTAAAACTCATTTCAGTTATGCTTCTACCATTTCTAACAAGAAAGTCAAACTAATATAGAGAAGCGTTCAGGAGTTCGGAGTGTTCAAAGTGCTCAAAGTGTTCAACTTGCTCAAAGTGACAGCAAGTAAGAAAGTGAGGTCTAAGCTCACCTATGTCAGCCCTATGCCCTCACTACACAGAGGGCTTCCCAGCAAAGCAGACCTAATGAAAGTTTCTGGTGTTAAAAAAACAAAACAAAACAAAGACCACCAAAGCGTTGACTAATAAGGTATTTGGAGATACAAAAGAAACATACTTTTGTGATCAGTCTGATACTGAATTTATCTGGGCCAGTTTAAATGCTAAGGCAGATCAAGGTCAAAAAAAAAAACAACAGGACCACCTCTCTCAGTTAAATAAGGTGTTTCTGGTTTTTTTTTTTTTTTAATTTTAGGATTTTCTTCTTGTTTACCAAGGTGATGCTGTTTATCACAGAAACTTTGAAAGGTATGAAGTTGAGAAGATCAACTATACTTCCACCACATAGGCAACGGGAGAGAAGATTACTTGGAAAGCATCATGTGTGCTCCCTGGAACCCTTGGCATAGGAACTTGGTACCTAAGGAATTCCTGACAATCCCAAATCTTCCCTGAGACATTGGCCCCAAACTTGTGGCAGAGCAGAGGGCAGACTCTGACCTGGAAATGACGGGAGCTTCCTCCACAGGTGAGGAACAGAACACACGTGTCTCCAGGTGGGGTCCTGCAGGAGGCAGCCACACCCTAAGTCTGGACTGTGCTGGGGATTATTTCCTGAGGGATGAGTGGATACCACTGCAGCACAAAGACTGAGGGAGGAATCCAGTTGTGATGAATCTCTTTGCCTGAACTTTTTGCCAGGTCAGAACAAGTGAAAAAAGCTGGAATATCAGCAGGATTACTTTATAATTCAGACTTTAGAAATATTCCAACATCTGGGATAGCCTCTCTGAATAATGCAGTATATGATGGGCTGGATTAGTCTATGTTTAACCACTTACCAGTCCAATTATTAAATACAGGATGACCAAAATTTATGTATTTTAAAATTAATTTTTATAAAATTATCTAACAGGAAATAGAAAATGACAATTACATCAAATTTATTCAACAATTTTTGTGTGAGTGGTATATTTCAAAACAGTACACAATGCAATGTTACAATCAGGATTGTAGTATCTACTCATTCTCTGAATTCTTTTTTGCATTATTGTCTTTGTTTGAACAAGACGTTCTATACTGTCATGCTGGCCTTTCCTCTTTTCTGTGGGTGGTATAATTTCAATAAAATGTCTACCTACTAAATGTAATGATGAAGACATCCATGATAGACATCCTGGTTGGCATTTTGATATCCTATATATTTCAATTATTTGATCTATTGGACCTAATCTAAATTGTGAGTGACTTTTTGATCTCCCTGTTTTGAATAAATAACAAATAAGTTCCATTGTGTTTGGTACAGAAAGTGCATAAATATTTTATAATAATATTTTTCTCACTTTCTGATTGCACAATAGCTTATTAGATATTGATCAACACTGTCAACACCACCCACAGAATTATTATAATCATCGATCACTACTGAAATTTTTTTAGTTTAGATTAGTTTCACTGGAATCTATTTTTTATTTTAAAGATAAAAGAATGAGAGAGCGGGTGACCCAGGACCACGCTGCCATTACAGACTGAGTTTCTGCCCTACCTGCACCTGCAGCAGACAGGAGGTCCTCACTCAGAAGCCACAGGGACTTCTGTGGCTGAGGGGGCACATGGAGCCCCTCCCTGCATGCACCCTGCACCAAGTGAGAAAGTGATCCAAGAGCTGCTGCACCCGCAGTTCAAGTCCATGCTTTACTCACACTGCCACAGTTCCCAGCTGAAAATCATGGAGAGAGCCAGGTATTTCCCATCTACTTCCTGAGGGCAGAGCAGGCAACCCAGGACCCCACTGTAATTACAGACTGAGTCTCTGCCTCCTGGCACCAGCAGAAGACAGGAGGTCCTCACTCAGAAGCCCCAGGGACGTCTCCAGCTGGGGGGGGATGTGTGGCCTCTCTCTGCACGTGCCCTGAGTGAAGTGAGTGATTGCTCCAAGAGCTGCTGATCCAGCAGTTTGAGTCAGTGCTTTACTTTCACCCAAACCCCCTAGCGGGTCAAAGGCATGGATAGTCTGTGAATGCTACCCATCCGGCCTGCATCTGGTTCCTCTATGTGTCCTGAACTGACTGGAGACACAGAATCAGGTGGTTCACAAACTGTCCATGCTGCAGTTTGTGTCCAGGTTTTGCCTGTACCCTGAACTACCTAGGGACATAGATCCACTGGACTGGTAATGTCACACCAGTGCAACCCAAGTATGGGCCATGCATGTGCCCTGAACTGTAAGGGAATGCTGCATCTGATGCTCGGCCATCAGCTGACACCAATGCCCACGTCTGAGACCAGGGATAACTAGATACAAATCAACAACTGCCAGAGAACCCCAGACTAAGTAGCACTTCTCAGAGGTCACTCAGGGGCAAACCTGACCAACAGGAAAACTAGGGACACTAGTGGC